ATCACTACATCTCCCTATAACGGAGGGGCCTTATGTCGAGTACTTCTTGTACTTCTTCTTGTGCCCTCCTGAACATCTTCCTTTATCTCTCTCCTTTCCCTTGGAGATCTAGATCTATCACGTCTTTCCCTATAATCAAATTGTTCCTCTTGCATACTCTGGTCTTCCTCTTCTAACTCATCCCTCTCTACTTCTTCCTCCCGCAGTTTCATTCTGCATTAACTCTTCTGATACATCAATAATGGGCATCTCTGAAGGCATTTCCTCATCAGATTCTTCTCCTTGGGATCTTATTTGGTCAGCATGAGCTAGAACACTGTTCCAATTTTCTTTATTTAATATTGCAGTATTATGTCCTTTCTGCATAATAAATTCGGCTGACTCTGGTTGCATATTCCTATTTCTTTTTTGTACCACATCTTTTGATTTGTGGCATATGACATAGTCAAAGGGGACCTTAATTGTCTGCCCATTAAGGCAGATGGACTTTCCGGCCTGCCTGCATGTGGAATTGTTCTGTAACTTAATAGTAATCTTGGTAGGAAAGCATCGATTTCCTCCTTCTGTTGCAAGCATGCTTTTATGCCCTTCTTTACCGTCTGGACCATCCTTTCCGCTGCCCCATTACTTTGAGGGTGGTAGGGAGGGGTCTTGTAAGGTCTGCATCCTATTTTTCTTAGCCATTCATGCAAATCAGCATCCACAAATTCTGGTGCGTTATCAGTCACCAATGTTCTCGGTGTCCCATTCCTCGAAAATATTACTCTTAATATTTGTTTTACGGTGGTACTTTTTTTTTATCAGGTACTCTCACCACTTCAGGCCAACCTGAATATGCGTCTACTAATATTAATAATAGTCCTATCCCATTGACATAGGCATGGTCCATGTGTACTCTGCTCCATGGTTCTACTTCTCGGGGCCATACATGTATTTTCTTTTGCTTAAAATTCCTGAGTTCTGTGCATTTTTTTGCATCATTTTACGTAGTCTTCTACGTCTCTTGAGTACCCCGCCACCAGGCTTCCAATTTTAATCTTCTTTGCGTAGCTGCCACTCCACAATGTACGTCATCGTGTACACTTTTTATAACCTGTCTCCTCTGTGTTTCTGGGGAACTACCAAGTCTCCATTACATATTATCCCGTTTTCTATAGTCATTCTATGTCTAATTTCTTTGAATGGTCTTTCAGCCATTGAACAATTTCCCCAGCGATTCTGTTTTATCCTCGACATTATTCTATTTAACACTGGGTCATTTGTAGTTTCAGTAGCCATTTTATCTACAGATATTACATCGGTTTCTACAAGGTGCAAGAATGTGTCTTCAAATTCCTCGTCGTTTTTGTCCTCCTCTCTATAAAACCTCAATCTAGATAAGGCATCAACGTGCGGTATCGTATTCCCTTTAACATATTCAATGTCAAAGTCGAACGCCATCAGTCTAATCGCCCAACGTAATATTCTGGACGTTGTAACTTTCGGTAGCTCTTTTCTTGGGTTGAAAATAAATTCCAGTGGTCTATGATCACTTTTCAACAAGAATTTTTTTTCCCATCAAAAACTGTCTTGCTCTATCGTTGTCCACACTATGGCTAGTGCCTCCCTTTCTATATTCGAATAATTGTGTTCAGTTGTTGTTAATCTCCTTGATAAATACATTATGGGATGCCCATCTTGTGACAAAATACCAGATATGGACTGCTCACTAGCGTCAGTAGTTAGAGTTATGTCCTTCTTAGGGTCAAAAATTTGTACTATTGGCTTTTTTTGCCAGAATCTGTTTTAAGTTTTCAAAGGCTTTCTGTTGGTGTTCTAACCAAATGAATTCCACATTTTTTTTCTTAACTTAGCAAATGGCTCTGTCAACTCATTATATTTTGGTACATATTTTCTATAAAATTTACCAAACCTAAGAAGGACTCAATTCTTTTTTATTTTTTGGTGTAGCAACTTTTAGAATTTTTCTATTAGTACTTTATCTGGAGAGATCCCTTCCTTTGATATTGAGTAACCCAAAAATGATATTTCATTACTGTTGGTTACACTTTTTTTTGTATTTATTGTCATACCAGCGTCTCTCAGCCGGTTCAGTATATTTTCAGTTTTTTTCTTTAAATCATCTTCATTTAAATCTCCAAACACATATATCATCTTGATAACAGATGGTATTTTCAACATTTCCTATTACTTTTTCAATAGCTTTTTTGAAAAATTGCACTTGCCGTTTTTATGCCATACGGCATTCTTTTCCACCTTAACAGGCCTATAGGTGTGTTTATAGTCGTCACTTCTTTAAAATTTTCATTTATCGGTATTTGGTGGTAAGCTGATTTTAGGTCTATCTTCGAAAATACTTTCATTCCAGCAAGCTTATGTAAAGCTACTTCCACATTTGGAATAGGGTACGAGTCAGCACAAACTTTATGGTTCACCCCTATTTTATAATCTCCACAAATTCTCAGGTCACCATTTTTTTTTCAATACCACGATGGGTGATGCCCATTTACTTCCTCCTGGAGGGGCAGGTTCTAATAAGTCTTCCTTTATTAGCTTTTGCAATTTAGCTATTACCAATGGTAATAAATGCATTGGTATTTTTTTCTCGCTTCGTAGTAGGAGGGGGAAACATCTTCTTTTAATTTCAGGCTAGCTTCATAGTTTTTTAATTTTCCTGTTTTTTCTATTTCTATCTCATTAATCAACTTCGTTGAATTTATTTTTAACACGTCATTCCCCAGTAGTCCATGTTTTTCGGCAATTTGTAACTATAATGGGTACTATTTCATATTTTTCTTTTAATTCTATTGAACCTTCAAAGTAACCCATAATTGCTATAATCGAGCCATCAAACTGACGTAGTTGTACGTTGGTTTTTTTTAAAAACGGTTTTCCCATTTTTTTTCCCACAAATTTCTGGGTACTATCGTGACGTCACTACCTGTGTCGATTTGCATTTCGACAATACAGTCGTTGATTTTCACTTTTATTTTTGTATCTCCGTTCTTAGATCCAGTATTTTGTATATTATCCTTTTTACATTAAAAATCTGTCTATTTTCATCCTCTATTCTTTCCACATTTTTCGTTTTACATACTTCTTTGAAGTGATTTTTTTTAAACACTTTGAACACGTCTTTCCAAAGGCTGGGCATTTTTTTTTTTCATTTCATGAATTTTTCCACAGTACGCACAATTTTTTTTTTTTTTTGTACCGTATATGTTTCAGCCATTATTTCTTCGTAGGATTTATTTTTATTTTGGTTGTAGGTATGTATTAATTCCTGCTGTTGTATAAATTCTATACACATATTCAAAGGCATGTTTGTAAGTTGTAACTGTTCCATTAACTTATATCTATGTGCCGAATTATGCATACCTTCAATTAATCTTAGTTGGATTAATTCTTCTTCCGTTGTCTGCTCGCCTGTTCCTAGTTTTCGAATTCACAGTATTTACTCGCACTTCTTAACCGGTGTAAATATTTTACTATCGGTTCATCCACTTCCTGCTTCATTGCCATAAACTTGGTCCTTTCTGCAATCACCAGTCTTTTCTTTGGCCTCATGTTTCCTTTAATAACCTGACTTATTTCTTTGAAAGTCATTTCTTCTAGTTCTCGAGGGTAAACCATTGTAGCAACCTTCATAATCGCTTCACAACCAGCGGTAGCCATGAACAAGTCGGTGATTTCATTTTCCCTCCTCTGTTTTTTGTTGTCTTTCAACTTTTTACATCTAGCATTAGCAGCAAAGCAACGAATCCACGTGTCTACGTACTCTGGGTCTTCAAGGACCAAAGAGTATCCTATCGGCGACGCCATTGTTATGTCGTGTATCCACTAAGTTCTTATTCAACTTCCGTTCTCGTTGGTGTCCATTTATTATATATGAGCTACCTGCTCATATGCAAATTATACTAATTTGCATATCACTACAGTTACATTTTAAATTTTTGAAGATTGTAGGTGGCAGGGAAGCAAGAAATCAGAAGAGTTCTACTGGGGAGAAGTGCAAGAAAAGAAACTATTAGAACTGAGGGTTGCATCTAGCTAGTTCAGCAGTAAAATGGTCAGACCTGGTTGTTAATGTAGTATATATATATATATATATATATATATATATATATATATATATATATATATATTTGACAAATGAAAATATTTCATTGAAAATAGATTTGATTACATTTTTCCATTCAAGGCTTCATCAAATCCAAAAAAACAAAAGAAATATGTGTATGGTTTAATAACGAATCATAGTACTTTTTCTCTAAGCTGGCATTTCTCATGATTCAGGATACACAAATTTTTTTTCTTTCATTTTTTGAATCTGATGAAGTCTTGAATGGTGAAACATATAATCAAATCTATTTTCGATGAAATGTTTTCCATTTGGCAAATTCATTAAAAACTTTGTCAGGATTTCTATTTTAAAAACATATATTTATATAAATTGCATGCATTTGGTCACTAGTTAATTTGGGAATCTGATTATTTGTGTCAAATCTGGGAAAACTCCAAACAAATCAAGTATATAATAATTCTCTCCTTTATTTAAGCAACCAAACTCTTTAATTGGGTCAACGAACAAACTGAAATAATTTTGTTTGGTCATTGTTGTTTCACTCAGCACTTTGTTAACCAGTATCAACTGTGAGCCACTTTTTAGAGTATATGTATCATTAATATATACAAATTCTGATTTAGCCGATCATTTAGTGGATACAAATTGAAATTTAGCTGATAATTTAGTGAATGCAATGAGATTTAGCTGGTCATTTAGTGTATGCAAATGGGGAAGAATGGGCCTTTACTGTGCTAGCCCGATGTTTGTTGGTAAAGGATGGATATGACTCACTTGGGTGATCGTTTTTTTTCAATTCATGATCACCCAAGAGTAATTGTGCATATGTGAAAGTAACAAACTCAACTGAAATTAAAACTTGGGCTCTCTGATCATTCCGAGCCATTATCCATTAAACCACCTACATATCCAAGCTTATAGCACCTGATATTCCCAAGTGGTCACCCATCTAAGGTACTGATCAGACTCAACATTGCTTAACTTTGATGATCAGATCAGGACCAGTGTTTCAACGTGATATATCCGTAAGCTTTTGTAAAATTCAAAACCCTAAAAATATGAAGTGGATTATGACATTACTACATGTAAGAAGCTAATCCATTATCTTCATTGCTTAAATGAATTGGTTTTGTTTACATGCTGTCATTTAAAAGATTACAACAAAGGTCAACTCAATAAATTCAAACATGAATAAGCTTTTAGGATTACATAAGTTCAGTATGTTATTAAATTTCTATAATTATTTTTTTAATTTAATTCAAACGTTTTTGTTTACTAGTACAAGTTTACTTCCTTAACTGATTAAATAGTCTACCATTTATCACATCTTATCTGTTGCTCCTGTTGTACAGGGTGTCCCAGAAGTCAGGGATTTAAAAATTCAACATTTTTATAATTCAAAAATAATTTTATAAAGAATGAATATTCAAACATTGGAACTCTGTTAACTATGATGATTCTTGTGGTCCTACCAAAGATTGAACTCACCATTCTTGACTAACAAATTTCTGAAGATATTCGATTCCCACTCCTTTAAGTTTACTGAACTTTCTCCTCAGTGAATATTTTTCTGTCCGGTGAAGTGATATCACTCAGTTTATTGATCAAGATTCCATTTTATCATTCTATTTCTATTTAATTATGAAAAAATATACAATGTAAATATCCTCCATTATTGATGTCACATAGACACTCTTTCAGTAACATTCTCTGTAACAGTAGACAATAATTCTGGCTGCAGCTCTAAAATTTCTGCACAGATGTTATCCTTGGGTTGCTGAATTGTCTGCAATCTGTATACACACCTTAAGGTAAAGTACATCCCTACCCCCGCCACCAAAAAAGAACCAGAAGGTGTGAAGACAGAAGAATGTGATCACCATAAAATTTTGTAATTTCACAAAATTAGATGGATTGATTAAATCTAGAATACAATTCCATAATTTTGTTTCTTTGTTCAGTTAGGAATTTTTCCCTGGGTAATATCCCTGAGTTTTGAAGTAAAAAAAAAAGAAAATCTGAAAAAATCTGACAGGTTATAAATTCTGTAAGGATTTTTGGGACATATTTAGCAATTCATGACAAAATCCAAAGAATCTGCAACATTATTGGTCTTAACCTGGCATCTTAGATTCAGTCACTTTCTCACTACTGTAGCATAGCTTTCCTGTGCCTTTTCTATAACTATTTTCATGCACTTGTTCTGCTGAGCTTTCCTCTTTGGTAACTCAACTTCAAGGATTTAAGTGTAGCACTAAATTGGCAGCTAGGTCTCATCATTTTACTATTGAAATAGATCTTACCAAGAGTTCTATTTTAATAATTCCTTTTCTCTCACCTGTTGAATTCTCTTCTGGCTTTCCTGTCAACTACAATCTTTCAATTTAAACACAACATCACCCATCATCTTCTATATTGTTGAATCTTGTTCTTTTATTGTTCTTTTCTCCTCATTGCTGTTTTCTCACTTTCTTTCATTCTTAGCAGGGCTCGTGCAAGGTTCTCATACCCCTCCCAATATATTATATGGTCTCCCAACTCTAAATCCTCTCAATTTTCTTAAGGATGAATTCATATAAAATAAACATTTTATTGTAAACCTAATTATGTACAATAATGGATCATATGCAATATAGGTAAAAAATATTCAACTAGAAAACTTGAAAATAAATACAATGTATCAAATTAGAGACATGTCATAATAAATAATTCCATCTTAAATCAACTATGTTTTGCAGCAATTTTAACATCAACTTGAGATTTTTCTTGTTAAAAAGTTAATTTTAACACATTCATATATATTGTGAATTTTTTATAGTATTTTTTTCAAGATGTAGCATGATCAAAACAAATTCACTGATTTGGATTTAAAAAAAGACCTCAGAATGACATCAAAATCTGCAAACATTTTTCATTTTTAATAGTCAGTTGTGCTTAATTTAATCTGTAATGTACATAAATGTAGGTAGAAAAAAAAAACAAATGTTGCTAAGATAGTGAGGGTCACAAAGCACTGCCTGAAGCTCCTAATCAGGCTTGGGATCCCCACCCTTGTTGTAGGTTTGGTGGGTAGTACATGCCAGCTCTGACTCTCAGTAACCCCTTGCTATATCACCTTGCTTCTTGTGTGATGATTTTTAAAACAGCAAAATTTGTTTGTTTTCTGCAAAAGATACTTTAGACTAAAACAGAAAATACACTTATTTAGGAACTACTTTATATAACCTATTATAGTTGCCTGCTTAAGCAGGCCAAATTTCTTTATTTCCAAAGATTCAAAACTTGTTGCTATTTTATATTTCTATCTCCATGAATACACGTTGTTTTCAATTTTGTTAATTGCACAATATAGTAGAGTCAGTTGGGCACCATCTGTGAGAAAAAAGAGCATCATGACACAATTCACTCTGCCAGAAATTTTGAAACGACATGCTGTACTTTTTGGCATTCACACTGGAAGCTCCAATACAACATTTCAGAATGGTTGGATGTTTGGAAAGAGTTGGATGAGTCTAATGGTGATTATGAAGGCACGGTAACTCGGTAAACTCATTCTGACCATTTTGATAAGCTAAAGAACTCCAAAATTTGTTGGAGAGGTCCTCAGACTCAGCAGGGAGGCTTAGATCAAGTGCTTTAAGGAGGTAATGCTGCCCTGAGTCAAAGTGTGGCTGCTGGAAGACCCTATGTCTAGCAACAGGACTCTGCACCATGCAAAATAAGCAGGAGAATCCAGTCATGGCTGCCAGACAATTTCTGTGACCACATCACCCTTTACATCTAGCCATCTAACTCCTCAGACTGCAACCCCTTTGATTATTATGTGTGTGGTGGTTGAGCAAGAGACCAACAAAACTTCTTGTTATACCAAAGAT